AAAAAAAAAAAAAAAAAAAAAAAAAAAGATAATCTTCCTGGTTCTCTTTCTGACTTTCCACATGGTCTTGAACAAATCACAAGCTGTTTGTCTCCTTGGTTTCTGTGGGCGGAGGAGATAAGAAAAGAAATATTCAGCCTTTAATCTTCTCCATGCTCCCGACTTTCATGTCCATGACAAACACTGAACCGAGAAGCTATAAATCCAGCCCCTTTTCCTTATTCCTCATTCCTCCTCTGACTGAATGATGCCTTTACTCCTAAGCTTCTCATTTTGTTTCCAGATCTCAAGTGAGGGCAGGCACCTGGGACACAGGCAGGTCATAGCACTTCTCTTCCAGAAGGCCACATCTCTTTTAGGTTTTTCAAGCTGCTCCTTGGATGAAAGCCCTTCTGTGACTGCATTGCGTGAAACGCATGAGGCAGAAGGATTAGCCTGGGGACACTCTCTGTCCTGGATATGCAGACAGCTACCCCTCTGATCGCAACATCCAACACACCTCCCCAAGTGATGTATTGCTCCTGATGAAGTGCTCTTACAGGCAGTGAATTGAGGAAGAAGTCCAGCTAGAGAGAAACTTCTGCCATGTGTAGTCTCTGGAAGCACAAATCCCCACTTAGCTGGCCCCATGTGATATAATGACAGGTCCTAGGAGTGATTAATACGTAGGACCCTAAAGTCCACGCTTCAGCCCTAGGTGAGATCCCTCACGCTACACCAGGAACAGGAGGGGAGTGACTCCTCAGCCCAGTGCTTCTCCTTGGGGCAGAAGAGGGGTGTTTTGTTGGCTTTTGCCTAGATTTACATTCAGTGCTGAGGCTGAACGAACATCTGGGGAAGTGCCAAGCTCTTATTTATGAGGCAGGCTTGGAGACCCCTCTTCGGTGGCGCCGCGGGGGCTGTTGGCAGCGAGGAGAGCAGCTGCACAGCAAGATGTTGCATCACGGGGGCGTATATAGGTGTGGCCCCTATGGCGGGCTGTTCGTGCCTTGGGGCTACTCTTTACTGCGGTGTCTGACAGATGCTGGCAGGTAAGGGCTGGCCGGCAGGATCCGCGCTGTCTGAAACACAAACGCGCACCAGAAAAAGGTGCCGCGGGGCAGGGATAGGTCAGCTTGCTGGAGTCTTCTTGACAGCTGGATTTCCTGTGCCTGCGCCAGGTCCCTGCCTCGGGTCTCTCCACAGCTCACAGGCTCCATGCAACTGCTGGAGCTTGCTGCTCCTCTGGACATGAGGGGTTGGATTCGGTAGGAGTAAATCTGGGATATGCCGAGGGGTCTGCAAACCACCCCTAGCACAGGTGGTCTCCCAGGTGGATTCACTCGGGTGCTCCCTCATCAGCAGGAATCTCTCCAGCTGCACATGGGCAGGGGTTTGGATTCAGCCCTGCTCTGCAGACTGGGTATAATAGTCCCTGGGACTGCAGGGAGTCCAGCAGATTTTCAGGAGGAAGGTAGAAGCCATTGCAGGGCCAGCTCTTTGTAGCAGGTCACTGCAGGTCCCAGGTATAGACTGTCACATGAAGCCCACCCTTCACAGTCTGAAGGGGTGCATCCTTTCTGCATCAGCTCCACTGCCTCCCAGACAAGCTGCTATCCACAAAACCAGAAGAAACTGGGATCGTAAGTGTTGTATCCCTGTGGGATTTCTAGGAAAAGATATCTAGATCCAATCTACAATTCCCTCCTGGGAAGAGTTAGCAGGGCTGATCTCTCCTTTCTTTCTCTGGAAGTTCCCTGTATGTATGGGCTTTTCCTTCGAGCCCACATTTTATGGCAAAGCAGCTGGTTTCTGTAGCTTCTGCCCTCCCTGTACATCCCTTACGGGAAGTCTGAGCATGGCTTGTACCACAGATGATGCCAGCTTGCGCTACATGCCCTTCAAGCACTTTTGGCATCTTCTGGAAGTGAGTAAAATCCAAGTAAGCACAGGATCACAACTTAGAGAGATGTCCGTAATATTTTCCTGGGTGGCTTTGTGGAGTGCAGAGCATCAGCATTGTGGTTAATTAAGCTGTGGTCTCCATGGCAGCTGGGCTGCAATAGGAAGAATTATGTATTTACTTTCAATTATAGGGGCAGCCTTCATTCCGAGATTAAATGGGAAGCAGCCCCTCTCTCCATGCACACAGCGTCTGTGGGGTGGTTTCTACAGTGGAAGAGGGAAGAAAAGGCTGCTTGTTTCTCTAGATGCCCTTTACTATTCAAGCTCTTTCTATTTTTTTTTAAATTCAGCTGCATCTTATATCAGCCATCTAACAAGCCCCATTCTATTATGAGCTGAAAGCTTTCCCTGAGGAGAGAGCTGCTTGGATCTGCCTTGTGTTTTCCAGTCCATCTCCCAAGTGAGACATACGGACAAGTTAAAACAGGCGCACTTCAGCACGGCCAAGAAGAGGGTGTCAGAGGATTCGCCAGGCATAGAAGCGCTGCCTCTTCTTTCTCTTCACCTTTCACAGTAGATACAGGAATCATCACTGCTCCTGACCCAGAAGGGTTGTCCACACTTGTAGTCACCAATCCCAAAGTGGAGGAGACAGTCCCACCAAAGGCTGGACATCTGCCCTGGTGGTGTGGAGTTGGCTGTGATGAGGAAATGCTTGGGAGGGTGAGGCAGCCTTTGGACACTCTTGCAGGGGGGATAATTTTCCAAACCCATGCTCCGAGAGCATCCCTGGTGGCCCAGAATGGTCCCATGTGGTCCCCAAGTGATTTACCCCATCCTCAGAGCTGATGCCGTGTAAGATGCTGATGCAAGGGGAAAACCCACCGTCTTCAGGCTAGGGAGGAAAGCAAGGAGCAGTCAGACCCAGGAAAGACCAAACCTGGGGCATGTGGTACCAGCCAAGCGTGACATCCTGAGCAGAGCTACAGAGCTGGTGAAACCTCAAGAGAAACTCAGACTTAAAACCCAGTGAAGCTATAACAGAGATTTTTGGGTTATGAAAGTCTGGAGAAACTAGCTCAGAGTTTGAACCCGAATCCTGGCAGCAGCATCCCTGAAGGCACCCAGACAAGGGACTTTGCAGAAGACGGAGTTTTGGGGGAGAGGTTGTTCTAGGCATAGAGGCAAAAGGAGAAGAGATGATGCAGAAACAGAAAGACCAAGAAAAGGGAATTTTGAGGGCCAAGGAGGATGTTGAAAGATCTTATGGAGAAGATCTTCATCTTTATGGCAAATCCAGACCAGCCACTCAGACCATATTTCTGGGCGTGCTCTGCTCACATGACTTGCTGTGAAATCTCACATCCCTCTCTGATTTTGAGCAGCTCTTTTAGTAGCTTGACCCTGGAGCTGAGCTGATTTGGGGTGAGCAGGGTATTCACTGAAAAAAAAAAAAAATGTGCCCTTTCAAAGGGAACCAGCAAGCTGAAATTCGGGTCAAATATAAGCACGTGGCTTCAGCCAGGAGTAGTGAAGGAAATCATTTGGAAGATGTCGAAACGTCTTGTTTCAAAACAAGCCACTTCTTACATCTTTATTTCAAAACTCCTTTTCCTATTTGAAAAGGGCCCCAAGTCAAATGGGAGAAAGGGGCTTAAAAAGGTAAAAGACCCTAAAACTGGAACAAAACCCCGTGGTTTTGGTTGGAGGAATTTGCAGGTTGAGTTGAACTGACGGGTGGGACGTTGCCGTGGCTGGTGGGGCCGGGACAAGGGACGGCAGGGAGAGAAAACATCCCTTTGTCCGGGCTCGAGGAGGGCCATGTGTCGTGTTAATGCTGCCGTGAGGCCACCAGCAGCCGCGGCCGGGCTGCAGATTAGCGCAGCTATCAGGACGCATTTAGATACGGGCGGTTTCCTCCGCCGTTGCTGGCGCGGGGGCACGGGCTGTGGGAAAGCGCTTCCCGACCAGCCGGGGCCCTTCCCTCGCCCATTCCCAGGGCCCGGCCCGGCTGCTAATCGGATTCCCATCGCCCGGCGCGAGATGCGGCCGTGTGACCTCGCTGGAGGTGCAGGGCGGCCGGCGAGCCGTGTGGGAACCAGGCCACGGGAGGCTCCCGCCGAAAGGGGCGGATTTGTCAGGGTTCAGTAGCCAGGGCCTGGCCTCCGGGCCGTGCATCCCACCTGTGAGATCCCTCTGGAGAGGCCGAGCCCACCGGAGTCGGGTGGGATTAACCCTTGGAGGGGCTGGCCCAGTTGCGGGAAGGGATGTGGAAGGGGGTGGAAAGCACATGGGGGATCTGGGTGTCGGTCCATCAGCAGCTCTTGACCTAATATCCCCTGGACTCTGTAAGGCCGAGTGGGATGCAGGTAACTGTGACCCTGGCAGCCTTGTCCCAAGCCACGTGCTGCGCAGGAGCAAGCGCCATCGCCATGGGGTCACCCCGCTGTCCCTGTACAAAACTTCAGCACAATGATGTTAAGGTGCTCGTTTTTGAGGAACGGTTTTGCAGCCAGGGCACTCTGGTTCTGCTGCCTCTGCATTCACGGCAAGGCAGCCAGGGCTGCTCAGGGAAACCCTGGGAAAGGCTGTGGGGGCTGGGGCGGCTCGTGGGAATCGGCGGCCAGGGAGTGTCCCCCCTGCGGGGACCCTTCCAAAGTGAGTGCCAATCCCGCCACCTCCGCCTCGGCCCCCCGCGGCGCTGCCGCGCTCTGCCCGTGCTGCAGAGCCCGTCTGGACCCTGCGCGCCAGCCCGCGGCTCTCGCCGCCCCCCGGCAGCCGCCCCGCTGCGAAGGGGCCGGCGCGGCCCGCGTTCCCAACGCGGGGAGGAAGCTGGGCGAACTTCGCACTGCCGTGTCATGCGAGCCTCCCCGCACACCTCCGCGGCACCCCGCGCCCGCCGCCTCCTCCTTCCTCAGATGTTGCCATAAAGGCATCAGCGGCAGTAAAGAGGTTAACGCGCGCGGGAGGAGGGGGCGGGCGAGAGGGAAGCGTTCCCATGAACCGGCTCCAAGGCTTTTACAGCCTCCCGAGCAAAGTGGAGCATCTGGCCATCGGGGTTCGTTTGCCCCGGAGCAGATGGTGCTGTCCCCTGTCCATGCGGCCGGGCAGGGTGGTGATGGGCTCGAGCTGAGGCTGAGCCCACAGAGCCTTTTGTCACTGGGAGGTTTCTCAGGACTCTCATGGTGGGGGGAGAGAGGGCAGAGAAGAGGTGACTGGGAGGGATCTGCAGCCCTCAGGCTTAATAGGCTCTTGATGCTGATTATAAAAGCCTTGGGGTCTCGGTGCTGATCTGTTCCCCCAGATCTCCCATCTCTGGGGACATGGACACTCTTGTCAGTGGCTCAAGGGCCATGAGCTGTCACCCCAGCACCTTCTTCTTGCTTCTTTCCTGTGCTGATATCTCAACCACAGAAGGGCATAGGGACCTCCTAGCCCTCTTGTCCTTGCATGTGAGGACATCACTATGGAGAGGAGAGGTGGGTGTGGATTTGGTCAGTCTCCCTGGACAAATAAACTTGCTAGAAGGAGGGATGGCAGGTTCAGAGCTACGTGTCCAGTGTGCTCTCCAGAGAGCCTGTTTCAGCTGCCATCTCCTGCCAAAGATACTCTGGTGGTGTATGCATTGCTGATGGAAAAGACTCGGAGAGGTTGTAAATATAGTACCTTCTGTCTCCTCCTTAGGGCTGTGTTGCTGTGCTCAGGAGGCCTGAGCATGTCCTGAAGGCTGTTTTGGGGCTGCCATCCATGTACCATAGGGATACATGGCCAGAAACATCTGCCACATTCGCTGTGCTTGTGAGTAAGGTGAATGGTCAAAAACACTCTTGCCAAAGAAGCTGTAGAGATTAGTGACGTAATGGTATAGCACCGTAACCGGATCTGAATTTAGCAGGCTCCTGGATTTCATAAGAGGAATCTTCCTGTACACAGGAGGTTTCCATGCCTGGGGCACACAGCAAGGCTGGAGCAGACGCTCTCAGAGCAGGAGATGCTCTGACGCTCTCAGAATCATAACATAACATGAATCATGCCTTTAGGTTCTTTCCTCTCAGTGGTACCACAAAGTGACTCTGCACCAGACCAGAGCTGCTGTTTGCCAACTTGCATCCATCCTTGGTGCCTGGAACACTTTGCAATCAGCTGCCTTGTGTGTCTTCCAGTCTCTACAAGCCCTAATTCTCCATAGCTCCTTGGCAGTGGCACATCAAACAACCCTTCCTCCCCTCCATTAGCAGGCAGTTCAGCTTCCCTTGGAAAAACAAGGTACAAAGATATATCCCCCCACCATCAACTGCAAACTCTTCCCAATTAGCTTCTAGATGCAGACAACTCTTGGCCCCTTGTCAGGAGCATTCCCAGCATCTAAAGGGAACAAACAAGCTCCCATCTGCATATCTCCCTCATTAACATGCACTCTCACGTCCCTCCATTGGCTCCTTTCCTCTGGGCTGCTCATCGATTCCCCCATACATTCCTCTCGGGCTGTACCTCCGAGAGGGCTGCAAGCATACCAGCTCTTTGCTCTTGCCCCTTTCTCCATCCAGCCTAATTAAAATCTGGCAGGTTTGTCCTGCATGGCAGAGCCTTGGAGAGCAACATCCAAAGGATGCTGAGACAAAAGGGGCCAGGGCTGGTTTGCAAGGGGGGTTCGGGCTCATTAGCAGAGACATGGTAGCACTTTCAGCTCTGCTGGGCTGGAGGCTCAGAGGGATTCAAGGCTGATGCGGGGAGAGAGCAAAGGTGCCTCTCTCTTCCCTGTCTCCCCCCAGGTCTGGGCCCCCAGGCCACACAGCCCCATATCCATCCATGCTAGAGAGTAACCTCATTGCTTATTCCCCTCTGAAGAGAGATTTGAGCTTCCTGATTTACCCCTATCTGCGTTTGCAATCTTTAACAAAATAGCTCTGGGCCGTCTCCTCGGCAGCTGTGACATAATTGCTGTTACCAGAGATTTAAGCAAATCCTCACTTTTGCTCTTCACACACTAAAGCACTTTCTCACCACCTCTCCCTGTGAGAGTTGGCAGCACTCTGAAGCGGGAGCCTTGAAAATAACTTCCCTCTTTCCAAATTTCTGCTCAGAGGTTAAAGGTCTGGGGTCCTTTACTTGGATCCATTTTGCCTTCCCTTAGCGGACATGATACCATGACGCCAACTTCTTTTCTCTTCTTGACACCTTCTTTTAAGCATTCCTAAAACAACAACCCGTCTTCAATGACACAGGATGTTATGTGATGATTTTTAAAGATACCATGTTGCTCCAGGGTCGTGAGACCTCCTCTCCTCAGAAGCAGGATTGGCTGTTCCAGCTCCTCCAGGCTTTCTCCTGGGCCCAGCCCCACTGGTGAAGGTGTACTTCCTGGAGACCTGCGAGAGTTGTCCTTCCTCGGGGCGAAAGAAATGGGAGAAGAGAGCTGAGGAAACGGCTGAACTCGCCAGTGCCTATAGAGACCTTCAGATATCCCTTTGTTGTCCCAGTCATCCCACAGAAAAAAAAGGCATTCATTCCATGCCTTTGCTAAGAATACAGAGAATTTGTGACATCTGTGGCTCTGCCAGCATTCTCCTCCACCCTGCAGGTCCCCAAGCTTCCAGGAGGACAGCTGTAAGATATTCTAGGACAGCCTGTATCCTCCAGTCTCTCCGGCTTTTCCTACCTTGGCTCCATGATGTCCCAAAGGGAAGACAATGCTAGCGCAGATCTTCCTCTGGAAGTCTGTTTACCAGAGGATGGGAACAATTTTCCAGATGTGCTGGAGGGAAGTGGCTTCATCCAGGGACCTGCCCACCGTGTGCTTTGTATCCCCACTAAGGCATCTTTTATTTTAGTACGGAGGATGTATGTGTTCGGCAGCTGGCCCCACTCGCATAAGCCTGGGCCTGCTCCCAAACACCTCTGTCAGGCCCACACGTGACAAAGCGCACGCTCACACGCATCCCCAGTGGCTCGGCAGCTGCGAGCAGGAGGCCCTGCGGAACACGGAGGAGAGCCGTGCGCTGGGCCAGACTTCCCAGCTGCTGCATGGGCTTCTCCTACATCCAAGAGCATCTCTAACGCATTCAGAAACATGATTGCAGGTCATGTCCCCTCCTCAGTTCTCCTGTAAGGCAGCCACCCCAGCATCGGTCACCCACTTGCCTACCCCATCGTCCTCAGAAGTGTTTGCTTTCCCGCAAAGCTCAACATACTTAACCACATCCTCCACCTTGCAGCCTGGACGTGTGCTTGCTCTTCAAAGAAGGTGTAGCAAGTAGGCAGCTTGGTTTAGCGAGCAGAAAATAATAAAAGGAAACGTGGGAAGCTCAAGTGCAATAGGAAGCAGATAGATGAGTGCTAAAGGCAACAGGGGAAAGTCAATGGCAAACAGCTGTAGTGCAGATGCTGAGCAGAAATGAAAGCTGCATCTCCAAGGCCAAACTGTGACTAACGAGCAGATGCAGCCTGGGATGAGTAAAAAGGTTTATCACTAAGGGAGAAGGTCATTTGTCACATTAGGCAAAACCAATGTGTCACAAATGGGAAACTGCAAATACTCTGTGACACTCTACTCTGGCAGAAAGAAACCACAGACAAATCAGAGGAGAGCAGCCCGGGCAGTAAAGCATTTGGAGGAAGCAAACTGGGCAGGAGGAGAAAGGTCTTGATCCAACTCGATCCCATGTTTAGGTTTAAGTAAGTAAACAGTCCCATTCATGTTCAAGTACTTTAATGTTTTATTGAACCAGGATTTAAAA